TTTTTCTCTCTCTATATATATATATATATATATATATATATATATATATATATATATATATATATATATATATATGTATATACAGGATGTCCCGCGTAAGACGTGCCAAAAGAAAAATATAAGTAGAACCGATAAAAGTGAATAAAAATTGTAGAGGTCGTTTTTCAAACAACCGCGATTGCGGATCTATCTCATAGGCCTAGAGATGAGGACTGCGTTTTAGATCTGACACTGCGTGATAGGCTCGCGAGCAATCGTCCATTTTCTTCGTCGACCGCGGCGAGCCGTATGTCCCGCCTGTCTCATTGCGCGCTCTGATTTGCTCAACTATTTTAATTAATATCTCGAAATTTTATGTGGTTGTTTGAAAAACGACCTCTACAATTTTTGTTCACTTTTATCGGTTCTACTTATATTTTTTTTTTGGTACGTCTTACGCGAGACACCCTGTATATGTATGTATACGTATATACATGTGTGTGTATATATATATGCATATATATATATATATATACACACACACACACACATTCTTTTTGTATATTTATTTGTGATGTTACTGCAAGATTTTATAAAAAAAATCTTTTAAAAATTATATTAATTGGGTTAAGTATCTTTTTAATAATGATGAGATGCGCAAGAGGAAAAATGCCGCTTACATATATTCATTGTTGTTACATGCTTGTGGTAAAAAAAATATATTTATTGTATTGAACATTCTTTGTTAATAACGTTTTAATGAATAATGAATGATAGCTAAAACTTTTTCAGCATTATTCATGACGAAGACGTTAACAGTCTATGTCAAAATTAAGATCACTAAAATAAAGTTTAGTTATAATCATTAAGATTAATCAGAATTAATTTATGATTATAAATTAACTATTAATCTTTACATTAATCTTTATATTACCTTAATTATTCATAACACACAGGCCGATAAATTTTGACTTTTGCTTCGATCTCTAAATCTATATGGATGATCACAAAGATTTTTGGCATCCTAAAACCAAATCCGTTGCCCAAATTGCTCTATTACGTCAGGTGTCCGAGATATTCTAATTTAAAAATAGGCATTTTTAGATTAAAATAAGTCTAATACAAGAAATGATAGGTAAATTTAGACAATAGATTTGAGCATGGTAGAAAAATCTACTAAAATCAATTATTATATTTAATAAATTAGAAAAAAATAATCCATATATCTATTATAAATCTTTTGCATCCTTTAACGTGTACACTGATAGCTATAGTTATCAAAACATTTAAAACGTTTATATAAAAAAATAAAACATTTATAATTATATTTATATACTTATTGAAGTTTTAAATATCGAATCACGTGTATAAAGTTATTTGCAGCCTAGGGATTAAAATTGATGTCGGCCTGTGTAATCATCAAGATCATAATAATCTTAATGATTATTATAATCAATCATTAAACAAGATATTTTTTTGTACTACCTATGTGGAACAAAAAATTATGATGACGTCAAAATGACGAGAAAGTGATCGAATTGTAGTTGAAAAGTGAGTTTTTTAGTCATTTTGATATAATTTTGACGTCATCATGAGTTTTTGTTCTGTTCGAGCTAGTTTTTACAAAATCAATTTTTTCTATTGGATACAGAATGCGTTCTATAGTTCATCGAAGTGAAAGTGTAGTGATTTTTCTTGCACTGACTGTATATTATATCTTCACTGACAATATAAAAGTCGTGTTCCTCACGAACCGCCGACTCTTTAACTGGTCTGATCAGGTTCGGCTACATCTTACTCTACCTGCTCTCGCCGTGTCTGAGTACACAATTTAAACGTTCCTAAGGAGTACCTTTGCAGAGTTTACGATATCGAGATTAAAGTTAATAGATCGCCCATGTATTTGGTCACGCCAGGGAAATATCGCCGATAAAGATATAGAATGAGTGCCTCGAAGCCGAGGATTATTTTCGATAGGTCGCACTACGAGGCGGTTTAGCGAACTTTTACTTGGAAGCCAAATGTACTATGTATGTATTGTATATAAGTAGCTTGCGCGAGGAGAAATTCTATTGTAAGACTTCGTCCGGAGGAAAGGGGCGAGGAATCGTGTTTGTAATTTTGCGTTCTACGCGCGATCGGAAGGAGCATATGAGGAGAGTCTTGTGTCAATTTGCCGTTGAATGTTTTTCTAAATAATTAAGGATGCGATAAGCGAACCGTTGAGCGGAGATTTGCTGCGTTGATGTAAAATGCCTGATGTAACTGTTGTACAATGTCAAGAGAGAAAAATATAATATTGTTATTCATCCTACAGAGAAATGTGCCTCTCATCGATGGATTTTGGATATGATATTATTATTTTAGCAAATCATATGAAACTTTTACGAAATTAAAAAATTTTTACAAAGTTAAAACCAATTTTAGAACGTTTTTAAAATTTTAGAAATTT